AAAAATAAAAAATCCAAATTTAATGTGAAGGGGTTAATTTGTCTAATATATATTGAACCCTCATCTATAAGCTTAACTTTAGTGTTAGATCTCATCATCATATAAATTTTTGCACACTTTCTCATTTCAAGATGTAATAAATTTATATTTATAAATATATACATATTACTAGATCTTTAAAAGCTCAAGAGAACTCATATCATGATAGGATCCTAATTCAATGCCTATAAAACAAAATTTAGGCAAAAGTTTCTGGTTGAAAACTATAAAATTTTGTCTTTTAAATATTAATCGACATCAGCTAACAATTTCCGAGTTGTAGTAAACAGTTGTTGCTACATATTAAAACTATACTATTTGTTTTGTTCAATTTGTGAACAGTTAATCTGGACTTGAATTTACTTACTTTTTAGTGTGAAAAACTGCTCACAGATTTGTGAAAAGCCGAAGCGACAAGCAGCTAAGGTCGAAGGGGTTCAAAGGAGACAAGAAATCGATGGAAACATGCAAACCTGTGTTGCAATCAACTGATAATCTCTTATTGTTCCTGTGGCCTTGTAGCTTGGAGTTTGTCAATGACACTTATGGCTTTTCAGTGAAAGGCAAGTCCTTACAAGTAAACAAAAGGACATTGCTTGGGGAAGTGACAAGAAATATAATTTGGATCCAATGTGTTTCCTAAAAATTTCCAGAATACGGATGAGGTTGGAGGTGCCAAACTAATTCTAGCATTCCTGTAAGTGCTTTTGTTTCTTACCGGGTATTTATCATTTAAGTTTAGTTAGGGTTTGCTTTCGATGATTCAAAAAAATTGGTGGGATCTTCTTGTGTGGGGTAGATTTCTGGAGGTCAAGAAAGTTTGTTCCTCTCATTGACTTCCTAAGTTCGAAAAACCTTGGGATCATCTATCACATTTGTGGTTACCTGAAACATTAGATTTGTAGGGTATTCAATAGGCTCAGGGGTTACTTAAAAAAAAAAAAAACAACTTTGTGGGGCTTGGAGGTTTGGCCTAATTACAGGCAAATTCAATTTAGGTAATTGTTCGAAAAAACTAATGGAAAAGTTTAGAAGTACCAAACTTGGATCTAAAGGGACAATACACCCTTTCGAAAAATGATCAAGAGCTTTCGCTAGAATGAATGTTTTTGATAAATATTATAATACTTGAGAGAAGAATAAGAGAATTTTTGAAACTATAGGAAAAAAGGTGTCTAGACCTATTTATGCTAAGCATTTGATTGTGATTTACTCTTCCCATTGACCACTTCGGAAAACGTTTCATTTACCTACTTAAGCTCAGATGTTTGGCCTAAATTTACGATGATTTTCTAAACTTCAGTGAAACTAGTTTCAAGAATTATTTACACTAAGCATCATATTTGTTCTTTATTTAATTACTTAATTACGGATTTGATCATAACAGTTGAGTGAACAAGAGGATCTTTTGTTTGGATGGCACGGCAACGTTACCGACTTTCAAAAACTGTATGGGAGGTAGCGAGGACCTTCAAGCTAATGACATTGTTACTGTTGTGATACAAAACAATTATAACACATATGGTTTTAAAGGCACAAGAGTCTTGTGCTTTCAACTACAAGTTGGGTTGGTGGGGAAAAACAGTTTTATAGGCTTGGCTTATATTACCATTGGTGGAATTGCTTGTTCTTGGCTGTATCCTTCATTCTTTGTATGTTTCAAGCCAAGGTGAGCATTTTTTCGGTTTGATTCTTATTTATGCATTCACTTGTGTTTTGGTGAAACCTAAGCAATCCTGATGGTTTTCAGGTTATCGAACCTTTTTTTTTTTTTAAAGAGAAAGATTAAGTAAGACAGACGTATTATCTCATCCATATGTTAGTGTAAGAAGCATAATGAGTTTGTATTTAGTCTCTAACTCTTTTAATCACCACCCTGATGGTGATTTGAAACTAAACACATTTTTTTGTGGAATTTGATTGGATTAACGAACAAATGACATGTACGCGTGTCTCAACCAAGACTTTCTCCTTGGGAAGTTGTAATTGTTACAGTCTTAATTATGCATTCACTTGTGTTTTAGTGAAAATTCAAGCGGATCCTAATGGTTTTAAGATTACTCAAAAGATAAACGTACCCTTCATCAATATATTAGTTTATAAATCCTTTCAAATTACATTTAGAAATAAATATGTATTTTCTATAATTATATCAGACTAAGTATGGATGATATGAAATCGTTTGTCGTTTAAAACCAGTGATATTACCATGAAGATTATTGGATTTTATTGTTTTTTTGAGATGTTTTTTCTTGCTTTCTGCAGGCCACTTGGGGATCCATCCTACTTGTCTTGGAACAGAAACCCATCAACCACAAGCAGAACTTGAGTTAGGATTTTTTTTCTCTTAAAAATGGCTGTTTTTTTATCTATCTCCTTGTCATCATGTTTCTTGGATGAACATATAATTTCAAATAATGACAAGTTAATACTTGTACTTGTTTTTCTTAGAGAACTTCCCCGGAAAAATTAACAAGAGAATATCTCAGGTTTCGTCACTTGGCCATTGACGGCCATAGCTAAATCTATTGAATAATTATAAAATTTCAGAAACAGTTTTATAAACAGTCTATACATGCAACTATCGATCATAAAGTTTCACATCAACGCATATGGAACATACACTGATCCACAATGGTTGGTTTATCTACATAAAACTGTTATGGGAAATCTCTCTAGTTTGGCTTTCATTTTTAACTCATCTTTTAAGGGTTTTCTACATGAAACTCGATGTTCTCTTGTTATTTGTTTGAAATTCACTCATCGCATCAAGTTGAATTAAGAAAACGTCCTATGATTAACTGATTGTATATATAAATCTTATAACCTCGTCCCATGATTAACTTGTATATATAAACCTAAAGTATCTCCAATCATACTCTTTATTTTAAAGAATATTTTTATAAATTCTAAATATAAAGAATAAAATTTTATTCAAATCCAATAGACTCTTTAAATTATAAGAGGAAAAACCTTTTTTTTTTTTTTTTTAAAGACTTAATAGAAAAGAGAATTAATAAATAAAAAATAGAAACTTGTAATTTATTAATTAAAATTGGATAGAGAGTTAAATTTAACTTTATAGATGTGCAAAGTCAAACTCACTCTTTAATTTATTTAATTAATAATAGTCTGTTAGAGCATCTTAATAATGTCTTATTTTAAAGAGCATATTTCCCATAAATAAATAGCATCTCATTAATTTCTAAATGTTAAAAACAAATTTGCATTCAAATCCAATGAACTCTTTAAATTAGACTTAATAAATAAGAGAGAGACTTAAAGGAGAGATAATTAATAATAAAATGCATAAAAACTTGTAATTTATTAAATAAAATAGGGATAGCAAGTGAAATTTGACTTTCTAGATGTAGAGAGAGCATCTCCAATAGTGCTCTTATTTTGAAAAGTATCTTAATAAATAAAGAGCATCTTCATTAATTTTAAATATAAATAACACAATTTTTATTCAAATCCAATAAGTCTTTAAATTTAATGAAGATGCTCTTTATTTAAGAAAGAGACTTAATATGAGAGAGAATAATAAATAAAATGCATAAGAACTTGTAGTATTAATTAAATTGATATAGAGTAAAATTGACTGTCTAAATGTGGAGAGTCAAACTCACTCTCTAATTTATATTTTAAAGATAAAGAGTCTGTTGGATTCTTGTTTATGGATAGACTCTTTATAATAAAGAGTTTGGGTATATAAAGAGTCATTTGAAGATGCTTTAAACTCAATCTTAATTATATTTAAGAATAAAGAGTCTATTGGACTCTGTTTTTTATGGAAACTCTTATAATAAAGAGTTGGATCATATAAAGAGTCTTTTGGATCTTTAGGATAGACTCTTATAATAAAGAGTTTAGGTCAATAAAGAGTCATTTGAAGATGCTCTAACTCAATTTAATTTATATGTAAAGAATAAAGAGTCTATTGCACTCTGGTTTTTATGGACAAACTCTTTATAATAAAGAGTTTTGATCATATAAAGAGTCTTTGGAGTTGCCTAAGACTTCTTTTTATGATAAACTCTTTATAATAAAAAGTTTGGATCATATAAAGAGTTCTTTGGAGATGTTCTAAGAGCATCTCAATTATGCTCTTTATTTTAAAAAGCCTCTTCATTAATTTTTAAATATAAGAAAAAATTTTATTTAAATCTAATAGTCTTTAAATTTAATAAAGATGCTCTTTATTTTCAAGAAAGAGACAATATTAGAAAAAATTAATAAATAAAATATATAAAAACTTGTAATTTAAATTAAAATTAGGATAGAGAGTGAAATTAACTCTGTAGATGTAAAGAGCTAAACTCACTTTAATTATATTTAAAGAATAAGTTTCTATAGATAGAATCTTTATAATAAAGAGTTTGGATCATATAAAAAATCCTTTAGAGATGCTCTTACGAGTATATTACAAGTTAATACATACAGACATACCTTTTATATAGAATAATATTATACTAACAAAACTCTATACAAAGTCTTTAATACAAAGTGATATATCAAAATATGATTGGATGAATTATATAAAAATCATTTCTATCATTTAATATGCATTTATTAAGTTGTTTTTATTAACTCATAATCATATATGACACATCATTTTATATGAAAGACTTTGTGTAGTCTTTGTAAGCATAGGATTACTTTTTATATATACATTATGTATTATTGAATTTAAATTAATAATAATATACTTACAAACTGAGTCATACAATCAGACAAAAAACATGTGAGAATAGACATTTACATTAATTTTGTAAAAATTTTGTCTAGTTGTATAACTCAGCATTATTCATTTGAATATACAATAGGGTTTTCCCATGGATACCCGGATTTAACTAAAATCCGAATGAAATAATATCAACCCTGGATTAGTCTCCACAACTGAATCAATAGACATTTACTATTAAAAAATAATAACAGAAAATCAATAGACAAGTTGCATTACAGATCACGCTTACAGTTTACTATATGCAACAACTAACTTATAAAATAGAATAATGTTATACTTACAACTGAGTCATACAATCAGACAAAAATTACACAAAATTCATATAAAATGACTACTCTGTTCTATGTTTTTTGTCCGGTTGTATGACTCAGTTATAAACATAGTATTATATGCTATTCTATAAAAGAAGTGTTGATCCTTACATGAATTCAAGCCCTTAGAACATGCAGCTAAAAGAATTTACTCTCTCTTGGAGCATATGGGAGATTAAAACAACTTAGAATAATGATAAAATTTACTAAAGTTACTATCATCTAAACAATTTGCGCCAATATAAACATGGAGCAAAATGAGCAAGTTAACTGAGAATCAATAAAATGTTAGTTACCACCACTAGCAGTGGAAGATACTGACATACTGTATTTGTGTTTGAGATATGCTTTGATGAAGGATTCCAATTCACCATCCATTACAGAAGATATATCGGATGTCTCAAAACCGGTTCGTACATCTTTGACAAGTTTGTATGGATGAAACACATAGTTCCTTATTTGTTGCCCCCATTCAGCCTTCACTGCATCTCCCCTTATTTGCTTGATTTCAGATGCCCGTTGCTCCTCGGCTATGACCAACAGCTTCGCCTTCAGCCTGCTAAGAGCCTTAATCTTGTTTGCTAACTGGGATCTCTCCTCTGTCACAATGTTAAGAATATAAATACAAACAATAAATAACTCATATAGTTCATATATACTTAAAAAAAAATTAGATGGTGCTCTGGAAAATTCAAAGCACGGAGAGTATTTAAAATATAACATAAAAAAGAGGTGGCCGTGGCAAAGAATACCTGTGCAGCGAACAGTAACACCAGTGGGAATGTGTGTAATCCGAACAGCAGTTTCAACCTTATTCACATTCTGACCCCCTTTCCCACCCGCCCTTGAAAAACTAATTTCCAGGTCCTCCTCAGGTATTTCAACATCAAGAGACTCTTCAGGAAGAAGAGGCATGACTTCAACACCAGAGAAGCTTGTCTGTGTAAAAGTTCAGGTTGAAACATAAGATGAGAAGTTTGATCTCCTGAATGAGAATCTTTTTAGAGTGTTTAACTTTTATCACAAACTTGAAACTTTAGAGGGATTCCAGATTTCCACTTGTTCTTAATATATTCACCTTCATGGTGCAGAAATGTGATTATTTTCCAGAATACTTCACAGTGAAATCAATTCAAGGTTTCAACCAGACCATAAAAAGTATGCATTCACAGAAATGATTTCAGAGCTATAACTAAAATTAATCCTTGAAGAAGAGAAGGTGAAAATGGAAGGAGTAGGGTTTAGTCCAGTACGAGGAAACACATGAAGTATAATCACATATTAACCAAAGAATTTGCTATCAAACACATGATGGTAACGTGTTGCTTACATTAGATCTGCAGACCAGTTAAAAATGTTATTCAGCCAAATTCCTTCTCAATGAAAATTGAGATAGAAGGCAAAAACAGCCAATTTTAAATCCACTGCAAGGTACTAACACATGCCAACTCCCAGCCAATGACAGGCACTGTTTCTAATGGAAGTTCAATTTCAAACACTAGTGAATCCTAAAAAGTATGTCTCATTTCAAGTTTCCATAATTTTGTTGAGTAGATAAAACCAAAAGAAATATTAAATGATTAAACTACCTGACGAAGACCTTTGGCATTGAAAGGAGACTGTCGCACAATCCGATGCGTTCCTTTCTCCCCAGACAGATAACCATAAGCATAGCGGCCTTCCACTTCAACTGTAGCTGACTTAATCCCAGCTTCCTCTCCAGCGGATTTCTCAACTACCTTTGTCTTATATCTTTGCTTCTCTCCCCATCTCACATACATCCTGAGAAGCATATCAGCCCAATCCTGCACTGGAAATAATCAAAGATTTTTACACAAGAAAAACCGAAACCCTCAACTATTCAGATTTCTTGAATGACTAGAAGAACCAAAAATATAAAAGTATGTGGTAACCAAAAAGGGGCTAGTAGACTTCAGGTTAAAAATCATATCATCAGCTTTTAAGTTTCTAAAACTCTCACATGGGAACCTTGACTAGTGACAAATTAAGAAGAGATTTAACGGTAAATGCTGAATTTCAACCCCTATATGCTGCACTGCACACAGATTAATACTTCCATCTGACCGAAAAGAATGAAAAAACAGATTTATTCCCATTACCTCAAACATAAAGAACTATTTACCTGTGCATCAGTTCCCCCAGCACCAGCAGTGATAGAGATAATGGCACCTTCTTTGTCATAGGGACCAGAAAGAAGTTGGGTCAACTCGAATTGATCCAAGGCCTTGCTTAATTCTTTAATGATACCGGCTGCTTCTTCAAGAAGTCCAGCATCTATTGAGTCCATCTCCTCCGTTAGATTAACAATAGTTACAGCATCATCAACCTGCATTTATTGTATCATATCTTTATGTCATATCCAAAATGCACATGAAAGGAAGACTTTCCACAATTTGAGATGGAAGATTTATTTTCACCAATCAGAGAAACTCATATACAATAAGTACAAAACTGCATGCAAAATCATGAACAAATAGATTGGTCATGTTACCCCACTGTCCATTACTCTTTAATGACCTTAACTAATTTCAATTTCACTGCAAAAATGTCCAACGCCTAAGATGTCCATTTGCAAATGTTCCCTTTCAGGTCACTCAGAAAAGAGCCAAGCAGCAACAATAGAACACTACAGTATGAGCCAATCTCACAATCTCAAATATTCTTAGGGAAGGTGATTTAAAACCACTAAGCAACTAAGATATATATTGGACACAAAGACTTCTTAACCAACACAGACTTATACAAGTCAGGACACACCACAAGAAGAAATCTCACGGCACCATTATCATCCCCAAATCTCACCAAGGCACCATTATCTGTCTTCACCATCAAAACACCTTGGAAGACATCTCAGGCACACTACCATTTCTACTGTCTCGTAGCTACCAAGTTAAATTTTTATGGCCAGTTAAGTAAATCTAAATTATTTCCTTTTAAAAAAGAATCTAGTTCCCTCTCACAACTCTTGCTTCAATTATCAACCTTTCCTCACAGAGAAAAATAAATGAAACCATACTGAACCTCCACGAGTCTAAAAGCAACAATTAAAAGTGGAGTCAGAAAGAGACTAGACGAATAAGCCAGCTATTGCGGGATTAATGTCCTAGCTCTGAGCATAAGAAACATTCTTAAGAAAGAAAAATACTTTTAATTAATACTCATTTATATACACACTCTACATGATGTTAAGATCTTCAAACCTATAATTCAGATCGACGAGAATTTGTAAAAGAGCCAGAGTCTACAAATTAAAAGTATATGCAGGTTAATGATAAACTGATGATATTAAATAAGAAAATAAGTAAAAACGTAATAAAATTCAAGTGTAAATGACATGACAACATAGAATATTCATCAACAAACTTCAGCGAAGTCAATTAATCTTCAACACCACTACATGCAGTATATTGCACTCTTTGTAACCCAAAGTGAAAAAGAAAATTGATGGACCTTGGTTTTGAACTCAGTTAGCAAGTTTATCCTGTACTTGATGTCGGTCAAGGCCTGAAGGGTTTCTTGAGCTTTAGCACGATCATCCCAAAACGAACTATTAGCTGCTTTCGACTCCAAACCTGCAAGTTCTTGTTCTAATTGCTGCAAACCAGCAGAGGCTCTAATCTCTTCGACATGTGCTGAGATAGCTTCTACATCTCTTCTTAAGGTATAAAAATCTGTCAGCAATACCAGAGATTAACAAAATTATGACCAGATACTCCAAGACAGCACTACAAAAGTCTCATAAGATTCAAAGCCCATCTTTTATCGCTCAACACAGATTTTAAGAAGAGAAAGCCAAAAAGGCTGATTAACAGCCTCTTTTTTTTTCCCTTTTTTTTTTTTTTTAAATTCAAGAGAACACTATCTTCTACGTAGCATTGGAGGAATAAATCACCTCAAAGTTATTGCATTTTGAGAGATGTCCAAAATAAGGAGGACAAAAACTAAACTTGAAGCCTAAGTGAACATTCATTTCAGTCCCAAAATCTGAAAATGGATCTCAATATTGACATGATAACAAGTTAACTCCTAGCTAGAGGCTTGTCTGAACTATCAAAGGCATCCCTATGCTCACAATAATTCTCCTTTTCATCGCATTCAAAACCTTACACAATCAAATAACTTTTGAAAGGTTTAGCAAGAACATAAATTGGAATTCTCATGACATACCTTGCATTACCCATTCTCTTGTATCAGAACTCAATTGACTCTCCGGTGTTGCATGTCTAACTGGTTCAACTCCAAAACAAAACAGAAAGAATAGTTAGTAATTATCTCAAACCAATGAAACCCAAAACTCAATACACAAATAAATAAATAAAACCAATAACAACAACAACCCACTGAAGTTGAAGGTGAATTGCAAAGAACCCACAAAGCTTAAGCCAAAACTCAAAAGAAAACTAAACCAGACCCCATTAATAACTAAACCAGACCCCATTAATAATTTGCACAAACTAACAAATACCCAAACTCTAATCCACCAAAAAATTAAAAAATGAAAATAACCCACTAAAGTTAAAGAGGATTACAAAGAACCCCCGAAGCTTAAGCCAAAACACAAGGAATTAACAAAGGGTTTGAGTTTGAAGTTGAAGTACCAGGTGAAAGAGAACGAGAAGAAGCGGAGAAAGTGAAGGTCGAGAAAGCGGAGAGTTGTGGAAGGAGAAGAATTGATTTGTTGTTGAAATGAGTGTGACAAGTTTTGGAAGGAGTTATTGTGGAGGTTAATTTGAAGAGAGGTCGTGCAAGAACCTCCATGGCCTTTGCTTTTTCGCCCACAACACAAAAGCTAAATGGATAGAAAAGGATCGAAATGGGACTGAGACTAGATTTACCCGCCAACTAGCAACCGGAGGAGTTTGTAACGTTAACCCCAGTCCCCAAGTTCGTTACGTCACTTCTTGTGGCCTTTTCCAAGGGTCACTATCAGGTGAAGTTAACTTGGAAGGTTTTTTTTAACTGGTTATGAGATGTTTTTAAACCATTACTTACCAGATTTTTAAAGTACTGATTTTGATTAACTAAAAAAACCTTAGAATCAGTATAGTGTATTTTTGAAAGGTTTATAAAACACCTCAAATCAGAGTATTTTGGTTAGTTTTAAAATTTTATTCCACAAAGACTCTATCTACTATAAAACTATCCCAATTATATCCAAAAAAAATTAACTGTACGTCTTCAACCATATTAAATATAAAACAATTTTAAGCAATTATAAAAAAAATTTAAATCTCATTTTTAAATGCTTTCTTGGAGAAGTAGAGTTACAGTTTTTCAATAATTTCAGATGTTGTAAAGAATGGCGAAAAATAATAAGAAGACTTTATCACATTTGAAGTCATAAAATACTAATAAGTAGAAAGCAAATAAAGAACTCTTACCTTATAATTGAAAAAACAAAACTCCAAAATACTTGTTAGAGTTGCGGTATTTCTATAGGTATATATGTAAATTTATCATTTTAAAAAATTGTTAGAATCGCTAGAAAATAAACTCCCAAACACAGGTTGGGTGTTTTAAAAACCGCTATTAAAAACCCCTCAAAACCGCTATAGTGGTTTACCCTCAAAACCGCTATAGTAGTTTACCCTCATAACCGCTACCATGAAACTCCCAAGCAGACCCTAAGAGAATGTTGTATTTATGAGAATGTTATATTAATGAAAAAATATATTAACTTGAAGATTACTGAAAATGTTTAGGAAAATGTATTTGGTTAGGTTGGAATAAACTGGTAGGTATGTTATATTGATATGTTTGGTTGAGAGGACAAATTGGTGGTATGTTATATAGATTACTAAATTGTCTTCCTTTTTAAATATTAATGTAATATTATTTTTACTATTACTTTTTGAATTATTTCTTTTAACCCCCAATATTTGAAATTTTGCTAAAACACCCCACCATGTAACAGTTTAATTTGTAACAAAATCATCCCAAGCCATTGTCGACCGCCATCGACAGTGGCCAAAATGGTGCACAACCGGCCGGATATGGCTAGCCGTGCGTAGATCTAACCAAAAATGGTCAGATTTATTATGGTCGTTGTCGGGCAAATCAATGGTCGTTAACGGGCATATTTGTGGCTATTGTGCACCATGGATCTGGCTGTTAGCTACCAAATCTATTCTGACATCTAAGGCCATGGATCTAGTCGAAAACGGCCAAATCAAAGCACGGAGAACCAGATCTTGTCGGTCGTGCGCCATTCCGATGACGGTCGCAAGTAGCCGTCGGTGGTGGCTAGTGAGCGACAGTGGTCCTGGGTGGCCTACAATTTGTTTTAAATATAAGGGCATTGTTGTCCTAAAACTTAATTAATTAGGAGTAAAATTGTAATGGCAGGTTCATGTAAATTAATTTCAAAATAAGGGCATTATTGTCCAAAAATTTTAATAGTTAAGGGTAAAATTATAATAAAATTAAGATTATTAAATAATCTTAAAAACCTAAGAAAATGGAGGTAACCATAATTACCACCTATATAACCAACAGTAATTATTATCGGTTTTGGAAGATTACTGGAATCTTATATCACTTGACAACCAAACATGGTAATCTAAGAAATATAAGATGACATTACCTCAGTAATGAGGGATAACCCCCAACCAAACATCTCCTTAGTGTAATGACATTCTAGAGTTATTATACGAAGATAACGTTGGGTTAAGATAATCCGTCAAAGTTGGTTTGAACTTTTTATCTTGAGACATATATTGGGATGACTCATCATTAGTTATCCTACCATTTTAGGATTAAAAAGTTGGGTTACTCAAGTTGGTTGCTTTGAACTTTCTATCCTACAATTTTTGGATTGGTTAACTGTATTCCAAAACCCGGCCCAGCCCGACCAATTTAACCGATTAGACTAAGAGCTAGAGTCTTCTCCAAGTTGAGTTACCACTTTCTATTGTTCAAGTAAACCCTAGATTTATGACGGCGAGCAGAATGGGGCGAGGTTGTTAAGGGTTTTGGAGAGGAAGTGTTGATGAGTCAAAATGTGGCGATGGGGGTAATTTTCAGTGAGTGAAACTACCGGAAAATACAAAAGACGTGTAGCCACAACAACAAGTTGTTGCTAGTGATTGGCGAAGCGAACTTGGTAGAGGTGAGACGGGTTTTGGCAGGAGGATGAGGGGGAGTGTTTTGGTAGTGATGGGGGCGACTGTCGACGCTAGAAACAAGCCTATATGGTCAAGGTTGGCAGTTGCCTGATGGAGGCATTTTTTGGGGAAAAACGTTCGATTTCAGCTAGATATTAAGGAGATTTTATGGGGAATGGCTCAAAGGATAAGTGTGATTGCATTTGGTGTCATTGCCACTAACTAGTCGACTGCTGATTTCATTTGGCTAGAGCACAAGGGTGTGTTTACTGAATTTCAAACCTGTAGGGACTGATGCGTATTTTTAGAAGTGTGTTTGCTAGATTTCAAACTGTTGGAAACACCAATCTAATTGGTCGGACCAACCAATCGACAGGTCAACCTGTGAATCAACTGATCGACAAGTCAAACTGTGAACCAATGCCTTGACCAGGTTTCAGAACATTGTTGGTTAATGTCACGATTTAATGCTTTATAAGATAATTAAATTCTAGAATTATTACACTCAGTGACATTAATCTTTGATATACTAGAATAACCCGTTAAGTCAAGTTGACCCGCCCTACCAAACATTGATGCAAAGGTTAGATTTCACCACCTCTATCTACCCAACTAGTCCTATTTTATCTAAAAAATCCAACCTGGAAACAGTATCTCCCCCAGAAAACCCTCTATCTCCAAGCCCCTTTACTAGGTTGGGCAAGCTTGGATGCCCCTACTCCCAACAAGTTACTGGTCAGGATCGTGGAACTATCACTGGAGAAGTAAGTAAGTTGGTCCTTGTTTGCTCATAAGGATAATCATTCTTATAAGGTCAAGGGTGGCCGGTCCAAGGGTTACTTGGATTGGTAATGGCATAACCAGAAGAGGGGTAGGGGAGACAAGGTTACGCGCTGGGTAGCGCAGCGCATCTGTTTCGGGTACAGAGGCGACGAGGGGTGCTAACCCGGCCACCCAACCCAGCAGGTCAGGGTCGGGCCGGCCATAGGTTCGAATCCTGCCACCTTTCTTGTGGATCAACCTGTGGTTACTGGATGATAGGAATAACAAAGCAGAAATTTTAACCTCAAAATCATTCTGCACAAGCAAGCTCCAATGAGGACGAAATGTCAATATATGAATTGTTTCATTATTCGTTATTTCCGGGTCTTTTCCTTGCATTCACTTACAACAAGAAACAACCACCAGCGTTTAGTGCAACTCCTGCATTGGTGCATTCTTCTTTCTTTCCTTGGTCTTTCGTTCCGTCATATTCCTAATAACTTATCCAATTACAATGTATTAACCGCTAATGCACATTTCTTTTATCAAATCTCAAGGACATGGTCTAATCATGAGGGTAGTATTTTATCATGGTGTCGGATCCCAAATTTTTATGGATTCCTTCTTTGTTACCGGGGTCGACCCCAAAGCCATAATGTCTCAAAACAAGGAGCCATAGAGAAACTTTTTTTATTTTTTTGTCTCTAACTTCGTGAAGAACTCCATTCTATCTCTCCCTCGTTACGAACAAAAAAGTGGGGCTGCGCCCCAGTTGTACACTCCCTTCGTTCTACGAACCCTTGTTGATTCTGAACTTCATTCACAAAGGAATCGGACTTTTGATGGACCAAACCTTTTTTATGCGCCGCTTTACCCTGAAAGGAAAATGAGCTTTGCTCCTCTGGGCGCTAGGCGCTCCCGTGGTTCGCAAGAAGGAAAAAAGATGAGTCTTTTGTTGCATCTGGCACAAGATGATAAAAAGAGAGCTTCGTCTATCGATGAACAGCGGATTGACGGAGCTCTTGGCATTGCTTTGTTTTTCTCTCTTTTCCTATCAATGAGATCCGATCCTTTTGTTTGAAATTTCTTTGTTCGTATCGAACCGCTAGCAGAATCAAATCTTGTTCCACAAGATCCTATATCAGCTATACATCCTCCTTGCATTTATGTCGGAGACGTCACCAGTGCTATGGGCTTTGGCTTATGTAGATAAAAAATGATGAATGGGATTGTGGCACTCCACTCGCCACCAATGTAGAAGGATGTCGCCGAAAAGAATGGAACGCTGCTTCGCTCTGCTGGATGCGTCGGATCCCGTATAACAAGCGAGCTTCTTACCCTCAAATTCAAACATGTGGGCGCTAAATGCTATCCTGCTCTATTGTTACGTAGTAATAGAAGCCCGTTCATGCTGCTTTGGCGGCACTTTTTCGCCTTCTCTTCGCTCTAGACAAGAGCGCTAGTGGACATAGGGAAGGAGTAGGTGAAGTGTGTCATTCGTAATTGAAAGAAAGATACCACTACTTCGCCTCTTTGTTGGACCGCCGGCGCGAACACAGTGGTCTTTGACCAGGACCAAGAACCAATTCAAATTTGGATCTTGACATGTTGGTGGTTTTTAACCGTAGGCATCTTGCTAGGAAGTTGGTAGGCTTATCATGAATTAGGTCGAGGTGGCTGTTAGTTTGGGATCCCGTAGAAAATACTTCTTTTATGCCTCGGGTATTAGCCACATCTCGTATTCATTCAGTAATTCTACCCCTTCTTCATTCTTGGACCTCGTTTCTTAATATTGTGACTCCTCCATGTTGTGTCTCAGGAACCTTTTTAATACAGTCCGGATTGCTAGCTTCCATTCATAGTTTTGCTACAGATGATACACGAGGAATCTTTTTATGACGGTTCTTCCTTCTAATGATTGGCATATCTATGATTCTTTTCTCCCAACTGAAGCAACAACCATTGGTCCGTAGAACCTATAAAAAAGAGATGGTTATGGCGCGAAGTACTCTTATGCACCTACGTCACTTGGTTCGTGCGCAACCCTGCCTTGTTATGTTATGGAAGAATTGAACTTCTTGCTGAGCTGGTTATTCAGAGCCAGTAATTGGCTGCCGGATTTCGCCCCGCAATTAGAAGAAGATCGCTTCAAAGGTCACTGTGGCGTGGAGTGGCTGAATGTAAAGCAGTCTGCCCCTACAACCTTTAATCAGTAGATTATTTAGAACTTTTGATATTGGTTTGAATCCAATTCGTGAGATGGTAGTGATCTTTAGCTTGTTATGGCTGTGCAGTTTTCCTTGGATTCATTGGAACTCAAAACTGGTGAGACTTGGTCATTGATTGTTTAGAAAGTCATGCCTATGAGAAAGGGGCGCCCTATTTGACATCCGATCTTGTCGTCCGAGCGGGCATCCTCTGGTCTAAGTGCTTGTCCATCGTGCTTAGGATAGAAGATAAGATACATATTGTCTATGGCTCTTTTGATTGATTTGTAAACCGGGTGCTTCAGCTTCGCAGGATTTGGAGAAGCCTTCTAAGCTGTCTACTTCCTTGGGTCCGTGCATCTTACTATAAGCAATTCCTAGCTTACTTGCTCGAACTCTTCCTTCCTCATCCACTGCCCATGGTTTCAAAGCATTGAAATAAGACAAGGGTTAGAGTGAGCCGGGTCTACCAAGCTTTAAATGCTAGCGGATGCAATGTAAGGTTCAGCATTGTTGGTGCTAATAAAATGCTTCCCATCGAGGAGATTCAGTCACATTTCGAGGGCTATCAGTAGGTCGTTTGCTATTGTTATGCCATAAGGTCTTCTTGCCTTTATACAGCTTGGCTTCGCTATTGCTCCATCGGCCTAAAAAGTAGTATTCCTACCATACAAGAATGCTTATTATCTAGTGCTAGAAGCTTCGCCAGAAGCAAGCAAGACGAGGTCGCTCTGCCTCGTAGACAAGGCTCGTTCTATACTTGTTGACTTATGAACTCGTGTAGTACTCATCCCTATCTCTAAAGGGGCTTATGCACTATACTCGTTGTTTACTAAACCAGCGTTAAAATAGGGGAGTGAAGCCTTCAATTTAGTGGCTTCCCCCTTTTTTCCCTCACCCTACTCTTTCATTTTCGCTTAAGCTCCCTGGCCGATTTGGGGGATTAATTGATTGGATACTTAAGAACCATAATCTTTCCTAGGAACAGCTTCTACAACAATAGATAAGGGTCAGGTTTGTTTGGCATCTATGCCCCCTACCCTTTTAACAATATAGAAGCCTTTTAGCTTGTACTGCTCACACTCCTAGATCTTTACGGCACCTCTTCCACCATAGTGTGAGCTGGGAGCAACTCTATAATGCAAGGCCTACTTCAAAATTCACTTTCAACAACACAAGACCACAAAAAAAGTTAACCATGTTTGCCCACTAATCTAATCATAGGTGAAATCCAATCCCTTCGCTTCACACTAGGCTTCAAAATTGTAAGTCAGGCTCCTTTCGCCTCTCGGAAGCGAGAAAGCGAGCAGCAAGCTGAAAAAGCCCTTTCCCCTTTTCATAATAATGAGGTCAGCTTCATAGCTCCAACCTGTATAAGGGGCAAGCCAAAACTAGCTGAAGGAAAGGCTGCATAACCTTCTTATTATTAGAGAAAGAGGAGCTTATTATTTTCTAAAAAAGACTCAAAAACTAGGTTTGGAACCCTACTCCCCAACAACTAACAACTACAAGGATGCTTGCTTGCTGGCATCAAAGCCCTTCATTATTATTAATGGGTTGGAGGGCGTACAACCCATTCTCTGCTCTTTTCCTGAGCGTTTCACACTAAGCTCTTCAATCTCGCCCTACGCCTCTCTAGGCATGAGCGATAGCTCATAATTGGTATATGGATCCCTCTATATAGTGGTCGGCCTTCTAAAAGCTTCGCCAGAAAAAACTAGTCGCTTCCCGAATGCCTCTTTACTTTAGTACGTATGGTTTGAGTTTTTTTTAAGTCTTTCCAATGCCTTCTTCCTTGCCGCCAACATACGCTACTAGGACAGTAAGCAAGCCACCTTGCTTGCATTTTATTCTATAAGTGGAGCGATTTGTCGAGTCTACAAAGCTTCGTACCCCCCCCCCCCTCCCCCCCGCCCCCCTCATTTGCCTCACCATGCCACTAGATCCATAATGATCAGCGAGTCGGAATATGTACAAATATAACCACACGAAGCGTCAGACCGATCTATCGAAGAAAGAGATCATTGAGCCTATTTGATTTAGCCGAGCTAAAGTTTGGAACCCTAGTTTATTAGCATTTTTGGAATAGAATAATAATAAGCTAAGGGGGCTTGGAATCGCAAGAATTGAAAAGTCCTCCATTGAATGGGGTGGGAAAGACAGGTTCGGAACTGGCCAGATTAGTAGGAGGAAGGGTGGCCCCACCCTGAAACTAAAATAAAGGTGTGCGTACATAAATAAAGAAAGAGGTTGATTATGGTCTTTACGTAATAGGGCTCCTTCCTATCTATCTTGACTAGGATTATGGGGGAGGCCCTTTTGGAAGCCCTACCCACCCTTCTCTATTTTATTTTGGGGAATCCCTTATATATAAGATTTCAGGCTTCCCAGACTTGTAACAAACGGCTAAAAACAAGAAAATGATCAATAGTCTTTGTCGTTACAGGTCATTCTGCTTCCATCAGATGACTTTTTTTTTTTTTTTTTTTTTTTTTTTTTTGTTCACCATGGCACGAAACATGAAGAAGTTGGCATAACTCAAAAAGAGAATGGCACCTCCATTAAGAACGTTTGTTGTCTTTGTAGAGAACAGTACGATCTTGGACTGGCCCCCTTTGCTGACCTAGAAAGAAAAGAAGTCCATGCTACCTCAGGACACTGTTGCCTTGCCCATGGGGACAGGGTAGCCCCAACTTCCATAGGTCCTTGGTTCGACCTCCTAATGAGAATTGAGGTCCTTGCAGGCATCTCATCCCTAAGACTTGCTTGCTCTGTATGGAGTGCCTCTTGGTTTCTCGAGTGCAACCGCAGAGAGAATCCACAACTAGGGCACTATTGGCCACTAACCACTCGCTCACCGGCCCTCGGGCTCCACATTCAAGTCTGTTATCCTAACCGTCTCCTTTGCTCCACTAGAGCCTAGCCCCTTCTTTTATCTTATCTATTCTTGCTTCTCGGGTCCCTATAGCTCTAGTCACTCGTTGTAGTAGTTTGCTTCTCAGGTGGATCGCACCCTAGACGGTGCTGTGAGCCAGAGTGGCTCAAGAGTCGACCTATGTTTCTGAGTCACGTGTAAAGGATGATTGTTCCACAAATTCTCACTGCACTGACCATAGTAAACTCCTTCTCGTTGTACCGAAATAGAGTTCTGATTTAAACAACCGAGTATAGCACATTTGACACCTGAGGACGGTACAACCCAACTATGAGGTATATTAGCAATGTTACAATAATTGTATATGAGTTTTGGCTAGTATATCACTCTATTGTCTACTCCTAATAAAAGTGATTGACCAATTATAGATCATCTTCTAGAATTGTATAACTGTCAAAGTAGTGATTGTTCATCAGAATTGTTATATGTCTGATACCATTGATGTCCAATGCTTTGATAGTAATTGCTAGTTCTACTACTACCCGTCCATTGAGTATAACCAGCAATGATGGTATAAGCAATGAACATCAAGATGATACTAGGAAAGATGATCCAAAGAATCCCAATATTAGTTCCATGAACAATCTTTTGTGGGATTGGATTTTTTTTTTTTTTAATAGTGGAAATGCCATAAAGCACAAACCAAGATCCGTAATACGAAAACCAATACCAAAATGAGGAAGAATAGATATCATAATTGTTTTATTATTCCTTGCATCATAGGTGTTACTGCGTCTTGAGATCCTAATTGCCACGGTTCCACTGCACCGCAAAGAGCAATTGTGAGGAATAATCATTCTAGAACAATCATTTCCTTTGCTTCATTCTTTAATAGCCCTGCTCCCCCTCCCTCCCACACCCCCCCCCCCCCCCCCAAAAAAAAAAAAAAAAAAAGAGATTGACTTTGAGTATCCCAATTCAGTAAGACGAAAATCGCAGGTTGAACCAAGAAAGAAATGGGACTTTTGGGCATTGCTTGGGTCAAGTTCAGTAAAGACTGGCTACATATAAAGATCCCTCAC